TAGCAATACTCACATGAACTCAGACATCCATAAACAAGGTTAGGCTTGTAGATAGCCTTAAAACAAAGCCTTAAAATTACTTATATTATTATGTAGAAAGCCTTTTACACACTTCTGGCAATTCTCTCCTACAAGTATGATACTGCCTTGCTCCAAAGGTTACTAAAAAGTAAAATTTTATCTATTTACAAGAATTTAATTTTACATTTTTATTAATTTGCCACATAGGTCTTTTCTTTTTGATAGTAGCACTTAGTATTTACAAACATGTAAGAAGTCTCACTAACAATACTGAAGTTCTTTGCAAAATGCCTGCAAAACATCAAGAACAAGATGGGTTCATAAAGATGAGGAACATATGACAAGTGAACAACTATAACCATCAATTAAAACCTCATTAAGTATCTCTCTTACATAGTGTACAGCAAAAACAGGAATATAACCACAGGAATATCATAAATGTAAAAAGAGGGACAAAGTAAAGAGGAAGTAGAAGAAACACTAAAAGCAACTTTTTGCTTGTCTCCCTTTTCCTAAGGACTTTCTTTTCTTGCATTCGAAAAAGTACTCTATCTATACACAAGAAATAGAAGCTATTTATTTTCTGGTAGAAAACCTTAAGAGGAAAACAAAACCAACCCAGACAGCAGCAGACAGGCCAACTAGAAAAAGTTGGACCACATCACATGGCTTGAATATCTTCTTTTAGGATACTTCTCTAAAAATGGGGTTACTGACATTCCTTCAATTATTTTTGCATAGAAGTCTAATAAACTGCAAATGTAAAGCATTCAGCAGCATCCCTTGTTTTCAGTTCTTGGGTTTGCCTTAGCTCGCTCTCAGCTCTGGTCAGTCACATACATGACTATGCATTTTTGTAAGTCAGAACTGCTAGAATCTAACAGATAACCATGCTGTTATCATAAGAAGGAAAGATGTGTACGAAGTAGATAACTCTTTCTTCCTTTTTTAACTACCAGATTACAAAGAAATTTGTATCAAGAGCTTTAAAGTACAACAAATTTATCAAGAATGGATGAAACAGGCAGGTAAAACATGAAACTTCATAACAATGAAGAGAAACTGATGAATATGTCATACAAAGATCCAACATGTTTTCAGTTCACAGAAGAGTAACAGTTCTCTTTAGTGAAGTCTGAAGCAGTGAGATTCTCTCAGTATACAGCTGTTAATTAGCTCAATTAAAGAACATAAAAATCAGCCAAGTTTGGGGTTTTTTTCAGACACGAATATGGGTACTTAATGCAATTTATTGCTTGTTTATAAAGGAACAGAATACAGCGTTTGAATAACTGTATTTACTTCAGAGTACACATTGTAATGCATGTCAGTTTTAATAACCACCAAATTACACAGAAAGGCATAAACATAAGCTTCAGTCCCATCAACTGATGTAGAAGGATGAACTTTTTCTCTCTTCATACCTACACCAACAACTGAGAAAGGAACCACTGTCTTTTAGAAGACTTCAACTGATCAATCAATTTGCATATCACATGACTTCAAAATCCATTTATTCAACTAAAGACAAGGTAAAAAAAAAAAAAAAAAAAGGAATACATAGTCCTATGCAAAACCATTAGATCTAGTAAATTGTTTGGAAACGTACAAATATCTACTGCATGGACACACAAGTGAGAAAAAAAACCTATGCCTTAACAGATTTATGGTTGTACAGTAGCAGTCACTGCAGAAATTAAATCCTTTAAGTTGTATTAGATTACCAAAATGGTAATAGAAACACACCAATATCTTATTTAAAGTTTTATCATTTCAAGCCTCAAATACTAGAACAGGCTGTATATGCATGTACGCATAAAATATGGAGAAGCTTACTTCTAAAATGCTACTGCTAACTTCTCAAAAGTTATTTTTGTCTTCTAAAGGAAACAAACTTAGCTTTTCAACCACAGTTTCATTTCTTTCTCTGTTCCAGTAACATGAGAAAAATTAGAAGCAGGTATCCAAGGACTTGCTCCCAATAACCAGTAAGGAAGGCATACGGTGTAATGTGAGACTCAGTAATATTTTATTCTATGACCTAGTCTTTAGATCCATAAAAACTATTTTTAAATTATTAGAATACTTACTAATGCATTCTCCTTTATCTGTAAATTGTCAAGTGCCACATTACCTATTTAAAAGAAAAAGAAAAGTACAGAACAAGTGACTTCAACTATTATGCAATTTGGAACAAGGAACACAACTACAACACTCCCAAGTACACCTGCACAAAATCTTAAAACATTACTCCAGTGAAAGAATAGCACAATAAATGTCTAACCTGCAAGAGTCATTAAACACTGATTATTTGGACAAAATTCCATGGTGGAAGAGATTACAGAAATAGCACCAATTTAGATGTCTGCGTGTTTCTACTCTATTAAATACACCTATGACAACAGTAAATCTTTCATATTATTCACTTTTTTTGTGAATGATAATTACAGTTCTATCAAGGTAGGGTAGACTAGAAAAATTCTATCTTGTTTTTGATGATTTTACAAAACAGAAAAATCATGGCTCGTACAGCCACAAAAAGGCATGGCTATCTTCACAGACACATTCATTTTTTCTGATGTAGCCAACATATTAGGATTTCCGAAGGGAACACTGGCACACGGAATTATACCTGAGGAAAGCACATATAATGTACCTCTTAGTGCTTTAATGCCAAACTCCCCAGAGCTATATTCCGCTTTTATTGTAAATATTAATAATTTGTAATTGTTAAGATACTTACTACCACAGCAAGAGCAAAAATAAGATGACAAGAAAAGTCTCGTCTCTTATTCATGGAAGGCATCTAAGATAGCCAGCCTCCTCTAGACAGTATTTCAGCTGGATTTTTGCATGCCTACAGGGTAGCAAACTGAACTGTTCGATAGATTCACTGAGAATAACTGGCCCAGGTTATTGCACTATCACGCCTGTTTAATATGCATTATTTACAGCAGCCAGGCGGCAGGTATAAGACACAGCCCCCCCCGAGCACCCCTTCAGCAGCACCACAACCAAGGCCTCCTCCCCCCCGGGGCCACCATGCATGAGCTGCCCCACACTCCACCGGCAGCACACTCGGGCTTCCACTTTACGCACCCCCAAGAAAGAGAACAAATTTGGGGGTGGCTTGGTTGTTTTTTTTTTTCTCTCTCGCCGACGGTTTCCTGCCCCAGCGCACTCCGAGGGCAGCGCCGTGCCCCCACGCTTCGCCACAGCCGGGAGGCTCCTCAGGGATCCACGCCAAGGCCCTCGTCTCGTGCGGGGGAGACCCTAACTTAGCTCCTTCGCGCCCCACAACCCGGTGCCCCAGAACTGCGCGGGGGTCTCGCCTCAGCCCCCCTCCGACGCAGACCCCCCCCCTCACGGAGGCGCGGAGCCCGCCGCCACGGGCCGGGGGCTCGACTGACGGCCCCTCACTGAGGGAGGGAGAGGGGCCAGAGGCCAAGGAACGACGGACGGTCCCTCACGGAGGCGGGAACAAGGGGCGGGTCCGCGGCCACAGGCTGCCCGGCTGCCCCTCGCGGGGGGAAAGGGGAGGGGGATAAGTGCGCGGCCACAAACAGACCGGGCCGCGGCTCCGCAGCCCGCCCTCTCCTCAGAGGGGGCCGCGAGCGCCCGTCAGAGGGGAGAGCGACCCCACAGCGGGACCGCAGACAACGAGACCCGCTCCCCGCCGCGGCGCGGGGAAACGCCCGGTGACAGCGGCGGCCCCGCAGCGGCGCGGCAACAGGGCCGGGAGGGAGGGAGGCGGCTCCTTACCCCCCCATATGCCCAGCTTGAGCTGAGACTTGTTCAGGTTCTCCACATAGTCGCCCAGGAAGCGGTTCAGCAGATCCGCCACCACCGACTCCAGCACCATGGCGGAGGCGGCCCCCGGCAGCGCAGGGCAGGGCAGGGGAGCGGCGGAGACGAGCGGCGGGCGCGGCCCCGCAGTCAGGTGATGGGGGAGGCGGGGCGCGGCCCAGCGCCTGACGGGCTGGCGGGGCGGCGCCGGGCCGGGTGGGCGCGGACCGCGGGTACCGGTGGGCCCGCGGGCGCCTTCCCGAGGCCAGGAGTCCGTGGCGCCTCCTGAGCCGCGGTGGCGAAGGAGGGGAGGGGCCGGCGCTTGGCCGGGCGAGGCCTCCGCCGGAGCGCGGCCGCAGACGGGGCTCCCCCGGATTTTCGGGAGGCGGAGCGACTACCGAGACCTTCGCGAGTTTTACCGGCACCTCCCCGCGCCTCCTCGCCAGCCGCGGGAAAGGCCTGCGGGGCGAGGGGGGCGCCCGGCCTCGTTCCCCTCAGGCGATTCCCGCCAAAGCCGTGTTTACACCTGAGGTACGGCCTAATGACTTGCATATGCAACCGCTGGGCTTCCAGGCGATCGTGCCATCTGCCTTACGCCGCTCTTCATTTAGGAGATCCGCGGAACGTGGCATCCAGGGTGGGTACCTGGTTGCGTCGGTTCCGCTGGGATTAGGCACAACCTGCTTTGGGGTTATGGTTCAGAAGGAAACTGTTATTTCTGTTAGTCTAGCCGTTCAAGGGACATGCAAATGCACAGACAAAAGGAACACATGAATATCGATCGTAAACCCCTGATTCTTCAGAGTTAATAGCTGCAGAGGAAGTAGATAAGAGCATGCTATTCTATGTGGTGAACCTGCTGGTAGCCATGTTAACACTGGAAAGAGTTTTTAAATCTCAGGGGGACTCATCTCAAACCGGTTATGTAAGGTCATTCTGAACTCAAAGGAACTCCATTATTCATGGAAGAACAGCAATTTGAAGCTCAAAATGACACATTCAGTCTAAAAATGTGTGCCAGATAAAGGAAATTAATAGTAGTGGTAGGATTCAACCTGAAAAATACATGAAAATACATCAAGACTACATGATAAGACTGTCAACAGGGTGAGACAAATACAACTTTAAACAGCTTACAGATATATTGTGGAGTTTAATGCAAAAAGATGTCACAAAACCACAAATAGTTTAAGGAAAATATTTAAGTAAACTGATAAAGGAAACCTCCATCAGTGACTGTTAACCCTCTGGTTCTGTTACAGCTGTGTTTCAGGCTTGCAAAAGCTCCCTCTTGCTGTAGTTGAGATAAATCCAATGAGCTCTGCTAGGATCTCTTCAGTTGAATAGCGGACACATACATGAGATCACCCTCATCCAAATAATGATGTCAAACGCATTTTCTGTTTGTTAAATAGGTGATAAACCATAGAGTCCATTCCCAAGCGTACAAGCAGCACAAAAAAATTTACTATTTATGCCACACCCGTACCCCATTGCTATACATACACCGTTCCTGCAAGCATTTTTGACATCAAAGATCTAATGGATAAGTCAGACCCTTATATCATAAAGACAGACCTACAGTGGTCCAGACGCAGGTTTGACTGGGGAAATCATGTTACTGAAAGCTGGAGAAGCATGGAAATGCTAGGGAAGTTTAGCAGCGGGAAGTCTCTCCTGAGGGTCTTCCATGAGCAGCCGCTTGTATGGGCCACGCTGTGTCAGTGCACACCAGGAGCCTCTTCCCTCCCACCTGCTGCCGCTGTTCTTGCACAAGCACTGTCAGATGCTTTATTAGTCGTCAGAGTGTTGCTCAAAATCACCTGAGCACAGTGCTTTCTAGCCCTTTTGCAAAACTGGTCTGTGCCTGAGTATGGATAAATTGGTTTTATGTTGACAGTGCCATTTTTGTTCTTTATGAGAATTGTAACTGTGGCAACCCAGAAGTGACTTAAGGGACTCTAAGTCGGTCTCTGTACCTTCAAATTAAACACACTGGGACATGATCACTGTAACAGATGAGATTACACTACTGGGTTTGGGGTTTTATTTTTATTCGTGGATAGCATTAAAAGAACCTAATACATGCTTTAAATGATTTTAAATAAAGCTATATAAAAACCCAACATTGACTAGAGCCTCTCTAATAAATCATTAAGAAAGGGAGGGAAGGGGTAGAAGGGAATTGTGAATGCCAGGTACCAACCCATACAACTTCTGTGTGACTGCTAAGTTCAGCACACCAGGGAGTAATGCCAGATTGTTTACTAGAAGTCATGAGTTGTTTATTGCCAATTGAGCACGGTTTTGCTTCAGTAAATGGGAGTAATGTAATAAGAAGAAGCCAGCTATTATGAAAAGTTTTTACAGTTTTAAGTCGGAGCTGAAAACCAAAAACTCTGCATTTTTCACCTTGTGACAAGGACCATCAGCCCCGAAAGACCACTACAATTACAGGTATCTCCATAGCTAAGGTCTCTACCTATCTAACTGTATCCTATGTATATTCTAGCTACTGATTTAGCAGTAATGTTTGTCACAGATAAAACATTACTTTGGAAAGTTTGTTTCTTTCCATTGTAAGATGTGCTTGCACTGACTCCTAGAATAAAGCAACTCTTACAGAAGTGCTTCCTGCAATACCTAGAGCAACGTAGCATTCATTTTACTGAACAAGTGCTTTCACCCCATTTTTTCTTGTTTTCTAAAGTCAAATTCATTCCTGACAATTTTTGTTATTGTTAATCTTAAGTAACATGTTAATACAACTTATCTTCCATAATGCCTTAAAAGTTCTTCACCACATAATTGATTTCTGCATATCCTAGCGTTTGAAGTAGAGGACAGAGATATAGTCAAAAATTACTGAATTCTCATTTTATGGTCTATTTACCTTCAGATAGGAAGAAAAATTGCTGATTAGGAAGAAAAATTACTAATTGGATAAGCTATATAAACTACAGAAAATGGCAATTTATATTTTATTTATTTGTATTTTTCTTTTGTGCAGTGTTAGCTGTGCAAAACCATTCCTATCACAGGGAAGTGGCAATGCAAGAAAACATGACAGGAAATTGTGAATTGAACTCCTGCTGCTATTCTGTTGGGTAAGAAACTTTCATTTGTGATATTTTTTAATGACATTTTGAAAGACCGTAGCTTATTATGCTTTTGTATATACAAACCACAGCTGAGTAACTAAGGTTTGAACAAAGTACTGGCTCATCAGTGGCAGCTCATGTTCGTAGTGTATGTAAATATAAGAACAATCGTGCAAATCATTGGTATTAAATGTTCTCTATAATATACAGTACAGCCAAGATGATATACCATTTTTCTACTTTGCTTTTCATAACTGTCATAATTTCTGCACAGAAAAAAAAAAATTAATCACAACTATAAAGGGTGTTGAAAAACATAAGAAAATACCTTGTATACGGTTAAATAATTTCCTGACTGAAGTGTTTACCTAAAGATCTTAAAGAACTCCATTAATTTTTAAAATCATCTTGTTATAACATATATTTGAGTAAATGAGATTTCTACTGTTCTTTCCAAACATGCTTTCCTAACAAACATAAATATATGACCTAGTGGATCAAAAAATTGGTCCTGAAGTAATGTGATTTCACCTGGAAAAGAACTCCATCAAACCACATCAGTGTCCTATATCCTGTTTCAGTAAGACCTAGATACATATTAAAAAATAAAAGGAAAGTGGAGTGGAGTTAAGAATGGAAAAAACGTGAAGGCAGCAATTTTAATATATATTTTATCAGCCCTATATATGGTTACTTTAAGTACTGAGATATTACTGGAAAATAAAGATACATATTTTTGCACCTCTATTGCCAAACAATCCATTGTTAGTCTTCCTGAGCCTCCCTTGCAGAAAAGATGCCTCTTGAAAATGACATTAACGCAGCTCTGTCTGTTGGTAGGTACCATTCATTGTGTGTTCTCAGTGAAAAAGGTAAACAGTATAAAATGAGGGGGGAAAAAAAAAAACACACAAAAACCACCCCAACCTCATACATGGATACATGACGTACAAGTTCTGTATCTAGAAGAAGAGATACAGGACAAACAGAAATTTTGGTATTTGCTTACCATTCATTGAATACACAGATAATATTCATTCGCCTCAGGGAAAAACCCATGCATTCGGCCCATTTTTTCTAAATATCAACATTGAATAGACATGACTGGTTTGATAAACATGAAAGGAATCAGTACTTTCACTCAGCTGAAAGTTGTCAAAAACAACATGTTCTGGTTGATATATAGAGGCTCCTTGTGTATTATTGTACCACTTCATTAAATAAGAGAGGATTTGATGATTCTATCACTGCATAATAATTTACTAAAAAGAAAACAAATACACCATTAACACTTAACTCTGGTTTTGCAATTTTTGTGGCAAGATTTGCTCAAATCTCTTAGGGAAGCCTTTACAAAAAATGAAGCCAAAAGAACCAGGAAATCTGCATTGAAAGTATCACAGTTAAAGCTTCAATTTTATGAACAGAAATACACACTGAAACAACAAATACTTGTTTAGTGTTGCCTGTTACACAATCTTGCATGCATAAATAAATAATAGTTACAGCAATTCTAATGCTAATCTGAGGTGGGTACATGGATTGATAGCTCAATAACTGAGCTTTCTTCTCCCATTTTGCTGCATTAATATTACAAAATCTCCAGCTCCTACCATCTGACTGTTGCCAAGTGAACAGATGGCAAATTTTATCCACTGTACCTTACTAAACAGAGTGTATGCCAGTTAGCAGTTGGGAAATCAGCCAGACAATGTGGCATCAACTCTCATCACAAAACCTACAGAGATGAGAACTTTGCGATCAGTTAGATCAGGTTGCCAAGAGCTGTGTTTGGAGAAGTTTTGAACATCTCCAAAACTGGTAATGCCACAGCCTCTCTGAGCAACCTGTTCCTTAGCCAATCTGATTATGAGGGGTGTTTTGTGCCTTTTAGCTTTTGAGAATTTCCCTTGCTGCAATTTTTGCTCGTTACTGACTCAGAAGTAACTATACATTTAAGGCACATATTTTTGGACTTAACAGACGGAAGAGCTCAGTATTGATAATTTTGCCATATTGCCTTTTCTAAAGAAAAGTTCAGTTTTCTGTGGAAATAATAGTATTTTATATTTTTTTTATTTAAAAATTTATAACAACTTCATTTTTCACTGTTTTTAAGCTTGTTTTCTAAGTAGTGCACAGGAGATTTCACTAATGCTAAATGCATTGACAGAAAGTAAGGGAAAACAATCGGTGTCTCAACAATTATATCAAATACTAAACCACCCAAATTACATTAGAAGAACTAGAATGACAGAATAGTTAGAATAGCTGCTATTACTTAGCAGTTAGGAAACTGCTAAGTAATAATTATTAAGATCACGCTCAGAAACGATTGCAACACGTATCTCAATTGTATTAGTAAGTAAAGCCAATAGATTAAGATATATTAGGATGTCTGAAGCACTGAGAAGATGCCAACACATAAAAATCTGCTTTCCCTTTCCCCCTCTGACAGCTGGAGACTCTCAGTTCTCAGTGGAGAGCCTTGAAGAACTCACATTTGCAAAAAGCTGTGATACTGTTTCAGTGTGTGTTCTCTATCTGTGTAGTAAAGACTTGCCAGGCACAAATATGTAAGAACTAAGTGATACACAAATGGAGGTGTGTCAGTATATGAAGCCAGTGCTAACTTCAGCTACTAACACCAAGGCACAGCCATTTTACAAAGGGACAAAGTTGATTTTTATTTGTAAAAATAACTTCAGTCATCTGGAGAAACCCCAGTGTTGTTTCTCAGGATAATTTTAAGCCAGATATGTTGTCTGAATTCTAACACAATTATATTTTTCCCCATAAAAAAAATGCCACATCTCTTTTTAAATAAATAAATGTGCACCCTTTCCCATTATTCTCCAAGACAAACCTTGCATAAAATTTTCCTCATTGGCTACTGTGAACAACTTTTCAGAGAAATCTAGATAAAAAATGGTTTTCCTACTGCTGGTTCTGTGTTAAAAACCCAGACCCAAAGCTTTCCATAGCTTTCATGTCATTACAATAAACAAGTACAGCATAGTGCAGATACCACATGGTAAGAAATAAAGCTGTATCCACAAATGAGAATAGCCCCATAGACAATCTGACTATGACAGGTGGTTTTCAAGGGGGTTTGAAGAATCATTTCCTTTAGGTACTGTACCTTACCTTATCTGCATCTAGGAGATTTATTAATTAGAATCTGCATTTCTGCATGAAATTTCTAATCCAAGAGGTTCAGTCTATCTGATCAGTACTGATCACATGCATCTCATACCAAATGAGATTTGAAATATAAATTACATTGCTATCTTTTATCCTGAGCCAAGGAATCTTCAAAAAGCAACTAAGTTCTAGGATAAGAAGAACCTAACTTAATTTTTCATGAGGGCTTTTTTTGATGGTATTTCTGAGAATCATATCACATCACTTCAGTGATGTGTTGTGAAGATGAAAAAGCCACTAGCTATGTAAGAAAATTGGTTGAAATAAAAATGCACTTGTTTTTATTAATATGTTGCCTTTGAGTGGGCAAGGAAGCAATAGTCTAGTCTGGAAGAAACACATTTGCTTCTAACTTTTATGTGTAAGTATTGAAGTTGTTCATTTGTCAAAGCACATGTAAAGATCTATTAATCAAAAGCCAAGCCATTTCACTCGCTAAAAATTTCAGTCATTTGCATATTCACTTGGAGATTGGAACAGTCCTCCAGCAAAACCCACTAAGTCATAAATAATACAATTGTTCAAGATAAATTTTCTGAGTGGCTTTTCTGAAAAAATACTGACTGATATTGAAGAAATGGGATGCTGAAACGTAGCATGATCACTTATTTATTATCAGCCAAAGCTTGATTTTGAAATAGTTAAGAACAGTAGGATGTTCCACAGTTACTGTTTACTAACAGAGTTAGTGAACTCCCAGATGTAGAGGTCAGTCTTTAATACAGTAAAGAAAAATTCCAAATGTCCAACTTACTATGAACTCAAAAAAAAATCAAAAGAGCTTTTTTCTTCTCACAGAAGTCACCCGTACTCCAGAGACTGCTGAATTGTAGAGTCTTAATTTTAGTTAAAAAATCTAAGGAATGGGAAATACAAAATGCTTACTGTCACCTCCTTCTTACAGTATCTATTTATAAGATGCCCCACAACTTTAAAAATCTTAATGGAGGCTGAAAACATTAATATAGGTTACCTTATTTGCTAATGCATTACAACTGCCCAGTCAGCCAGGAGGTCAACTAGCAGATTCACCTCCTCACAGGAAAAACTCTGGAAAAAAAAATAATTCTCTGAATAAAGACATGTTAACTGCTTCCAAAATAAATTTTAAACAGCAGGTATTATTCCAAAGAGCTATTGTCTTCAGATATTTATTCTTGGCAATATTTTTCTCTCATGGCAATGCATGTATATTACATAACAAAACAAACACCATGTGTGATTCTTTTGTCTCTTCTGTAAGTTTAAAATCGTATTAACTCTGTTAGAATCAATATAGGTACCATATACAAAGTCAACATGTGTTAAGAATTATTCCCTGCATTTCGCTTGTCACAGTATTCTTCTCAGCAATTTGTGGCTCAGACCTCTCGATGTTTACCAAAAAGTGTAAGACATCGATGAGTCAGGAAAAAACAAATGCAGTGCGTAACTATTATTAATTTCACATTATCCAAAAAAAACAAACAAAGCAAAACAAAAGCCTTTCTTGTATGTTGCTGAATTGTCAGTGGCACCTGAGCTCTGCAGCATTTGCAAGACTTCAGAAAAGGCTTTCAGGATACATAAAAGTGTCTATAATACAATGTCTGAAGAGCTAATGAGAAATACCTTTTGTATAAAGTAGAGATTCCTCCTATCCAGATGGCATGTACTCAATAGCTGTAGTAGCAATATTATCAGAGGTAGCACAAGTACACTTGGGAAATACCTAAAAAAACAGTTCAAGGGATCTCAATTTTTCATACACTTTATGACAGTCTGAAATGATTGTCTTGTAGGGTTCTGTTCCTTCCACTGAA